GTGCAGTGGAGCATTCTTGGCTCATTATAACCCCTGCTTCTTCCTGGGTTCCTGCAATTCTCCTGCCTCAGCCTCCCGAGTAGCTGGGACTACAGGTGTGTGCCATCACACCCAGCAAATTTTTGTATTTTTAGTAGAGATGGAGTTTCACCATGCTGGCCAGGCTGGTCCTTAAGCTTATCAGCTTAAGGAGATTTTGGGCTGAGACAATGGGGTCTTCTAAATATACAATCATGTCATCTGCAAATAGAGAAAATTTGACTTCTTTTCCTAATTGAATACACTTTACTTCTTTTTCTTACCTTATTGCCCTGACCAGAACTTTCAATACTATGTTGTATAGGAGTGGTGAGAGAGGATATCCTTGTCTTGTTCTGGTTTTCAAAGGAATGTTTCCAGTTTTTGCCCGTTCAGTAGTATTGGCTATGGGTTTGTAATAAACAGCTTTTAGTATTTTGAGATATGTTCCATCAATACCTAGTTTGAGAGTTTTTAGCATAAAGGGCTGTTGAATTTTGTCAAAGGCCTTCTCTGTATCTATTGAGATAGTCATGTGGTTTTTGTCTTTGGTTCTGTTTATGTGATGGATTATGTTTATTGATTTGCATATGTTGACCCAGCCTTGCATCCCAGGAATGAAGCCAACTTGATCGTGATGGATAAGCTTTTTGATGTGCTGTTGGATTCGGTTTGCCAATATTTTATTGAGGATTTTTGCATCGACATTCATCAAGGATATTGGCCTGAAATTTTCTTTTTCAGTTGTGTCTCCGCTAGGATTTGGTATCAGGATGATGTTGGTCTCATAAAATGAGTTAGCGAGGATTCCCTCTTTTGTATTGTTTGGAATTGTTTCAAAAGGAGTGGTACCAGCTCTTTGTACCTCCAGTAGAATTTGGCTATAAACCCGTCTATTCCTGGACTGTTTGTGGTTGGTAGGCTGTTAATTGCTGCCTCAATTTTAGACCTTGTTATTCGTCTGTTCAGGGATTTGACTTCTATCTAGTTTAGTCTTGGGAGGGTGTAAGTGTCCAGGAATTTAACTGTTTCTTTTAGATTTTCTGGTTTATTTGCATAGAGGTGTTTATAGTATTCTCTGATGGTAGTTTGTATTTCTGTGGGATTGGTGATGATATCCCCTTTATCATTTTTTATTGCATCTATTTGATTCTTCTCTCTTTTCTTCTTTATTAGTCTGGCTAACAGTCTATTTTGTTGATCTTTTCAAAAAAACAGCTCCTGGATTTATTGATTTTTTGAAGGGTTTTTAGTGTCTCTACCTTCTTCAGTTCTGCTCTGATCTTAGTTATTTCTTGTCTTCTGCTAGACTTTGAATGTGTTTGTTCTTGCTCCTCTAGTTCTTTTAATAGTGACATTAGGGTGTCAATTTTATATCTTTCCTCCTTTCTCTTGTGGGCATTTAGTGCTATAAATTTCCCTCTACTCACTGCTTTAAATGTGTCCCAGAGATTCTGATACATGGTGTCTTCGTTTTCATTGGATTCAAAGAACATCTTTATTTTTGCCTTCATTTTGGTGTTTATCCAGCAGTCATTCAGGAGCAGGTTGTTCAGTTTCCATGTAGTTGTGCGTTTTTGAGTGAGTTTCTTAATCCTGAGTTCCAATTTAATTACGCTGTTGTCTGAGAGACTGTTTGTTATGATTTCCAGTCTTTTAGATGTTGTTCATATCTATGAGCACATACATAATGGGAGAGATTGATGGCTCTTGCCATCAATTACATTACATTAAAACTGATATACATAATTTCCTCTATATAAATTGCGTGACTACAAGAGTGAAGATTCTTATGAGCTATTTTTGTGTGTGCGTGGAAGAAGAGTGATTTTTGAAGTCTTTGAAAAGAAGGAAGGATTGAATGTGCCTGTTGATTATATTGTGATGTTCTTTTGCCTCCAAAAAATGTAGAGTTGGGAACATCTACAACTGTGAGGATACCAAGAATGCTCATTTCTGTTTCATAATAGTTACTGTGTTTTTTCCTGATATTATAGTCTTGCTTTTAAATGTATTGGGCTGAATCTCTTTCTTTACATTTTTAGTGTGTCCTGCACAAATAATTCTTAGTCATTTTTTTCACTATACATTTCCTTGCAGCATGGTCTACATGTCCCCTATTTGATCACAGTGTAGATTTTGAATTCACACCTCCCACATGTTAAGTTGACAGTTACATAACCTCAAAATGCATTCTGGCAATGACGAATGCCAATATTTTATGATGACATCCCAGGAATTTGATTGCAGCTGCCCACTGATATGAGTGGCATCTTTATTATTTGGTGAATTAAACAGACACATTAAGTACATTTGTAGCCAATGCTAGATTGTAAAATAATATATTTCTTATAGTGAACAGTGAGAAACAATTAAAATGTCCATCAATGGAGGAATGGTTAACTAAATTACGGTACAGCTATGCTATGGAATGCCCCACAAAGAAAGTAGCCTGACCTGTGTCAGGCTCTCTATTAAGTGCTTTACATATACTTGTTTCATTTAATTCTCAGAACAACCTTGTGAAATTCCCATTTTATAGATGAGGACAAGAAGACTTGTCCAAAGTCACATAGTAAATGGTACAATAGTTAGACCTAAGTTCTATGTACCTCCAAATCCATTTTCTTATCCAGTTATACTCATCTAGCTCATGAATGTCAAAGCTATACGTGCTGTTAACTCTTTTCATGGAGATTTGGTTCAAGATGAACATTAAGTTATATAACCACAGAGGAGAGGAAGAGACTTAGGTCATAGTAAAGTTAAACCTATCTAAATGTCAATGCTAAATTACTTACAAAGGAGGTAAGTTGTCTATACATTCCATAACTGAAAGGAAATTCAAGAATATACACCAAAATTCTGACAATATGTGCTATCTAAGTCAGGATTTTCATGTATTCTCAGGGCTGTCACTCTGTTTAAAATGACAAATTATAAGTGAAGTAAGAGAAAAGCCATACTTTTGCTCAAATATAATTATTGATACTGTAAAGTATCACTTGTATGTTTATCTTTATAACTTCTCATTCTTTTAATATTTACAGATGGACAAAAGAGAAAGAAATCTTTAAGAAAGAAACTGGATTCACTAGGAAAGGAGAAAAACAAAGATAAAGGTAAAAGATAAAGTAACTAATGCAAATCCATCTACCATGGAGCATAATGGTTAAATTTGGCAGGTTTATTGAATTGCATAGATATACGTGGTTCAACTCTGTTATGAAAACTGGATTTCTACAATGGAATGCCATTAAGGGCTGTCTTGGTCTACTCTTCTGTGTTTGAATAGCGCTGTACTGAACTGATGAATTCAGCTGGTTTGAGGAGAGTTTGACCTCGGCCAAGTTTATGGTTCCAATTATGATTTCAACCAATCAGCTATGCATAAAGAGGACTTGGGTTGAGTAGCCAGGGACAGCATCTCTAACACTAACCATCTGTCTGGCAAATCCAGACAGTCAGGGTTAGTTGAATGAGAGTTTGAATTCACCTACCATGACTACTGGAAAGAAACAGTCTCATCCTCATGAGTTATTGAAGATAGGCCATTCTCAGCATTTTTTTTCACCCAGTTGAAAAATATTTATTTGCAACTAACCTGAATGCTTACATTTTACTTTGTTACATTGCCTCAGCCAAGATAGGTTAAAGCAAATGCCCTTAATATTTTGGGGGTCACAGAGTCCTTTAAGAATCATTGACAACAATGATGCTCTACCAAAGGCCCGAAACTCACCCAGTGCCCACCCCATCACCCCCTAAATTAAGAATTCCTAGAACAGATATTCAGTTGAGTTAACAAGTATTTTTCTTTTTAAAAATCCAGGGGCTTTAGGTAATAGTCAGTGGCTGTCAATATTTTTTTAACTCTTGTTTTAGGTTCAGGGGTACATGCGCAGGTTTGTTATATAGGTAAACTGTGTGTTGCAAGGGTTTGTTGTACAGATTATTTCATCGCCCAGGTAATCAGCATAGTACCCAATATGTGGTTTTTTTATTCTCACCTTCCCCCTACCCTCTACCCTCAAGTAGGCTCCAGTGTCTGTTGTTCTTTTCTTTGTGTCCATATGAACACGATGTTTAGCTCCCACTTATAAGTGCATTCTCAGCATTTTTATGTTAGATCACAGTATGCTCATCTTTTGCTTCATATGTTTTGGGGATTGTTTACTCTCATCATACTGTTTTGTGTCCCCTTCTGCATCTGTTTAGGGAACTAAAATTTTAGCCACTCTCTCAGAGTTATTTATGGTCATTTAAAACTAATATTCTTCAAGCCCACATAATGGATGCCTGAGCCACATTGACATAGTCCCATTTTTTGTGGCTTTTTTTTTTTTTTGACAGAGTCTTGATCTGTTGCCCAGGCTGGAGTGCAGTGGCATGATCTCAGCTCACTGCAACCTCCACCTCCTGGGTTCAAGCAATTCTCCTGCCTCAGCCTCCCGAGTAGCTGGGATTACAGGCACACACCACCAAGCCCAGCTAATTTTTGTATTCTTAGTAGAGATAGAGTTTCACCATGTTTGCCAGACTGGTCTCAAACTCTTGACCTTGTGATCTGCCCACCTCAGCCTCCCAAAGTGCTGGGATTACAGGCGTGAGCCACCATGCCCTGCTTTTTGTGGCTTATTTTTGTGGTCCCTTATGAAGTGGTTGCTGAATGGTACAGTTATATGCATTTATTTTCATTTTATGTGACACAGTGAAAGAGTCTTGAATGAGAATAGCCATACACATCTCATCTTGGAGTCCTTTTATGTAATGATTGGATTTCTGCTTTAAAAGTAATGGAAGGCAATGAAACCAAGGGTATTAAAAAATGCATTTGTATCAGTGTTAGACAGGAGCTATTCCATACCATTGATCTCAGTTTCTACACCTATATCTTGAGCTGTTATGACATTTGGTTCTTTGGACTAAAAAAAGATGAAGAATTCTAAAGAATGGAAAACCATTGTTTTACTTCCTTTGGAGTGAGGTTTCTCAACCTTACTACTGTTGTCATTTTAGACTGGATATTTATCAGGGGTAGAGGCTGTCCTGTGCATTGTGAGATGTTTAGCAGCATCCCTGGCCTCTACTCACTAGATGTCAGTAACACCACCCTCAACCCAAATATTTTCAGACATTTCAAATGTTTACCTCAAATTAGAAAAAGGAAGATGAAAGTGTCAGTGATCTCAGCCCCTAACTACACAGTAGAATCGCTTGTGGAAAGGTAGAATCACTTAAAAATTCTAAGACCCCCACCCAGGGAGTCTGCAGGGATATCTCAGGCATGGGTATTTTTAAGAGCTTCTAATATGCAACTTCTAGGATAAGAACTCTGATTCATATTAACTAGGATAATCACTAGGGCACGTTCTGTCACAGCAGAATCTACTGCTGGAATAATGAAGGCAAAGGGTTGTCCAGCTAACTATTATAGTCTGATAAATTGTATTATATTTAATTGATTGAAATGTTTGTGCCCTTATTTTTGTAATGACCTAAATATTAGGAGCCAGCATTGCTCTTGTAAACTAGAGTTTTTGCTCATTCTGTTCCTGCAGTAGAGCACTTTTACATCTCTAGATCAGAGCGATTTTCCATATGTATATAGAGCATATTAAAGGGATCACTCAGGTTGGTTTTAATAATGCATTCTCTTTTAAATTTGATTTATTCTAGGATGATGATATTGATATTGGGATTTAAACACATCTAATGTGGACTTTAAGTGATTTTTCAGAAGGTGTCCATTTGACTAGACTAAGCAGAATGAGCATTTTTGCAGGAGGAGATAGATGTTCCCTCAGCAAAAGGAGATGTATGTTTGCTTGCATGTATTATACACAAAACAGCAGGAAGCAAGAATTTGAATTAACAGAGAAGGAAGGTCCAGGGAAGTAACTGGCCAATACATACTGGGCCATTATACATTTTTTAACTAAATCATGTTTACATAGACTCAGTGAAAACTCTGCAATGTTCTATACTGCCTCAATGGTAGCTAAGTGGGAAAAGGAAGGTAGGTCCTGGTGGTTCCAAAGAAAAGACATATCACCCACCCAACCAAGGGGAGAAATATCAGGCTTCATGGCAAAAGAAAAAAAAAGGTTTTCTTTTTAAAAGTGGCATTAATGTTTAAAAACAAAGTATCCTAGGCTTAAGTGAAGGTTAATTATATGGCATCTTTTCAGAACATAAATCCCTGTCTATGTCAGCACTGGGAGGACATCGGTGTCCTGGGAACCAAGGTGTGAGGGGAGGGGCGCTGTGCTGGTCTGGCACAGATGTAATCTATTCACATTATTTCCTTCCAGTTGGATATTAGCATTTAAGTTTGTAACAGCTGCACATGTTAAAAATGATCATTTGAATCCAAGAGTAAAAGAAGGAAAACAGGAAACTCTAAATGATCTCTTGAGTTAGGTCATCTAAAAATAACTAGAAGCAGCCTTTTAGAATCGAATTGCTTTCCTAATAGTGATTCATAAATGGTGGATATGCTACCATATTAATTGATTTCATCAGAATGAATCATGTCCTGTATGTTATTTAATTGCCTTGTTATATAGCGTATCATGTGACACTCCTGTGTTCCTCATGCCACTTACACAGTGCCCATGTGACTTTTGATTTACATATGGAAATTAATTCAAGATTGACACTGGTTCAGAAATGTATTTTCATGCAGAATAATTCCAAGTCCTTAATTTCTCTTAGTTATATTTCTTGGTAACCAAAAGTGTTTTTAAGACTTTCAGAACTTCAGGAAATTTCTTTCTTGTGTCAAAAGGAAATCAGTGTTTTGGGGTGGAGGGGTAAGTAATTTTAAATATAGCTACTTTGTTTTATTAACATGCTTCCTAAACTGATCACATGGTGAATAGGTTTTAGTATGATGTAACTCTGGGAGATTGTACTCCCCAACCCCTTCCAGGACATTTTCAGATTATGCCATATATTTATCAACATGCAATCTGGAAAGAGTTCAATTCTGGCCCTGTTCTTTATGGTGAAATCATATTGTATTATGTTTTATTTTCCTCACTGTCTAGGTATGTTACTGTATGTGAGCTGTGAAATAACACTATATACAAATAGTTCATACAACTCTTAATTTTGCTCCATATTAAATAGCATATCAAGCATCAATTATCACTGTGTAGAAATTCTCAAAGAACATGTATTGAATATTGTCATTGAGTGCTAGTACTTCTAGGATAAGAAGAGAAGAAAGAACCAGGGAGTGTGTAGTTTCTGAGGTTAGGAAGGGGCCAGCTCACACAGTTCTGGGTCACAGCACAACTTTTGATTTGGAAGTACAGGAGAAAGATAATGGTACCTTGGACTGGGGTGAGAGTGATGGTGGATGTGGAGAGAAGTGGATGGAAAAGAGAGATAATGTGAAAGTGATATGATAAAGATTTGATTATGGAGTGAAAATGGGATATAAGGTGTGGAGTATCAAGGTTGACTCTCAGATTTCTGGTTCTTCCACATGAAGAACAGGCAAACTTTTGGAAATCTGAGTAAGACATGATAAGGGAAGATAAAGAGTAAGAAATCCCTTTGGGGCATCCAGATATGAAGGTGGAAGAAGTGGTTGGTGCTCAAAGAAGGGGTCTGAGCTAGAGGTAGCAGTGAGGTGTGAAATTTCTATGGATGAAAGTTTAAGTTATGGGCATCGTGCTATTACTTACAGAGAGAGACCAGAGTGATGAGGAAGGTTAAGAGTGAGCTCTGAGGACCTTCCACATTGAAAACTCAGGTAGAAGATGATAAACCAGAAAAATGGTCAAGAATGTAGCCATAGAGGTAGAGGAAAACCCAGTTAGTATATCCAACATGCAAAGGACAGGGAGCATTTCAGGGAATGTCAGTCAGGTTTAAAGGCTGCAGAAAGGGCAAATGAAACAGAGCTGTCAAAAAACACTGAATTTAATGACCCTGAAGACAGCAATGACTTGGAGGGAGCTGCTTTAGAATCCAATGGAGGTATCAGCTAGATGGGATGAAATGAGGAAAGAATAGTAGTTGAGAAAGTTATAGGCCAGAAAGTAAAGGAAACACTTCAGAGAATTTTAACTGTTGCAAAAGGAAAGGGGGTAAACTATGGAGAAAAGAGTGGGTCGAGGGTTATTTATTAAGAAGTAGCTGCTTGAACATAATTAGTATAAAATATCTAGTAGAAAAAAGAGGTTGAAGATACAGGCACAAGAAGATGTAATTTATAGCAGGGGTGGCCCACCAGCTGTCTTTGTAAATAAAGCTTTACTAGAACACAGCCATACCCATTCATTTACTTACTGTCTATGGCTGCTTTCCTGCTAGACTGGCAGATTGAGTAGCTGTTACAAAGACTGTGCAACCAGCCAATAGGGTGGAGGCTAGAGTGAGGCAAATTTATCGCCTAGGCCACAAAATAGAAGGAAATGCTCAGTCTGCATGCTGACTCCGCGATTGCCGCATGCTGAATGCAAGCACCTTATCATTTTGCATCCTAGCCCTCCTAAGCCCCAGCCGTGTCAACAAACCCTAAAATATTTACTCTCTGGCCCCTTATAGAAAGCAATTGCTGAACCCTACTTATACTCTAAGAGTATTAGGGTAATTTTTTGAACTCTTGAGTACAGTACAACATTATCCATGGTTTCAAGTTATCAATAGTTGAATGGCAGGTAGGAGAGCTAGGAGAGCATGGGAACCAAGGAGAGGCAGAAAGGCTGGCAGGATGCAGAGTCATACCTCCATATCATGCAAAGGGAGGTGGTAGAAGGCACAGGTACAGCAGGTGTGAAGAGTTGGAGCCTTTGTACCCACTGGTTGCTCTTCTCCTGAAACAGGAGGCAGAATTATTTGCTGGTGGGGAAGATCTGCACCGGAGGTATAAGAAGTCTGTAAATGAGCATGGTTGGTTTTCCTTATATGGAAAAAATGACTGGGAAAGGGCTCAATAGTCCCCATCTTATAGTAAATCCCTGCCATGCATATGCCTACCTGAGCAGATGTGTCACTTGCTACATTTATCAATGTTCTTTTCACTCTTACTATCCCCCTCTGTTTCTGTTATTTCATGTAGCTGTCAGCCTTACCATCCACATGTTTCTAGACTTTTCCAACCTTTGAAAAGTAATGTTTGATTATTTCTACAGACAAGATATATATATATATATATCTATATATCTGCAGGGTGCATAACAGGAGGTCTGGTACTATGCCCTTTGGTTTCTAATTTTGCTAGTAGTAGACACAGCGTATTATCAATAGTGAGAATTATACCTCACTACACTGTCCACATTGATCACTCAAAGAATTAATTTTTATTACCGTATATCACCTAGCTTCTTGCTAAAGAATGGCAACTATCCTCTGAAAATTCCAAAAAGTTTTGTTTTTTACTTCACAATAAATTGCATGTTTTGATAGAACCAGAGGTTCAGGCTTTTCAAGTAGCATTTCTACTTTTAATATAGACTTGGCCTTTTAAAGTTCTTCTCCCTGATTTAATGTTAGCCATTTCTTTCAAAGAACAACCAACCTTGGAATTATTTTCCCTTGATCATTCTAGTTTCATCCATAGGGCTTATAAAAACAATGGAGAGGTTAGATTCCAACTTACTGCTGCTAGGAGACCTAATTTGGAGTCTAAAAAGAATAATACATTTGACTATTATTAGTGCCTTTCGGCATGAATCTAAAATATTGCCAATAAAACGCCTGGCCTGAAGGATCCAAGGAACATGTATACAAACAGATTTATGATAGAAACTCAGAAAGGAACTATATGCAGGTCTCCAAGAAAAAAGCCATCAATTTCTGTACTATGCTCCTTTCCCCAAATTGTCCTTACTAGAGGATTTAACAAATTGTTTCCTGGGCCTCCCACCAGATATTTAGTATCCCACTCTGCATATGGCGAGCAGAGTGGCTTGAGTGTAGATCACGAGAGTTACAGTCCCAACCAGCTGGCTGAAAATAGAATGTGGGGATGAGGAACAGAATGAAAACAGAGCGGACATCTTCCCAAGCAGTTCCCAAGCTGCTCTTCTGCCTCTCAGGTTATTATTTCACATGCTGAGTCTTACTAGAAACCTCAAAGTGTATTCAGTTAACTAAATTTCAGCCTTAGCTTCATGCATCTCTCTATTATAACACCTGATAGTCACTCTGTTATCATGATTTGCATTTCTGATTCTCTACTCCTTCACCCCAACTCACACTCTGAACGTAGGGGGGAGATCCCATAAGCGCAGAGGCAGGAGCAAAAGGCCTCAGCCTATTTCCATATAAATAATGAAGAAGAAAGTAACTAGAAATATAACTGTAGTAGTTATTAGTTATTCATATGTGATCTTAGTTATTCATAGGTGATCTTAATTCTTTTACTAATACCTCTCAGGTTGGAAGTGTGAACCTGGGGTGACATTGTGAAATGAATGACACTAAGGCAAGATGCTTTAAGCTCTCTGTCACGCTCCATAAGGGCTGCTGGAGGGCGCCTCAGCTATGCGGCAGCACCAGCGCTGTGAAAGCACCTGCTGCTTAGCCAGCTAGGGAAGGAGATGTCCAAAATGGCCAAGACATCTCCTTCCTGGGGAAGTTTGGAGAAAACTCCGCTTCTCCATGCTCTTGTGGTAAGGCCTGACAGCTGTCAGGTAGGCCCACAGACATCCAGGGCCTTAACTGTCTCTATGTGATGCTGTGCTTCAGCGGTCACGTTCCATGTCTACTGTTATGTTCTGCTTCTGCACCTGGTTCCTTTTTACTTAGAAAAGATATTCAGTAATAGTAATATAAATCTTAATGTTTTAGTTCTTTCTTGATAAGTGTGGAAAAAGTGCTGATGCATTATGCACCTTACCTTACTTCAGGTGCGAAATTCCTGAGCCCCTACCTGAATGACGCGTGATGTACTTGACCCTATCACTGCCACGCCCTATCTACCGTGCCCCCAGTCTCCGACCACCAAGACCATGCCCTACCTACCCTGCCCCCAGATCTGCAACTCAATAAAAGTGAGAGAGAGTGTTCAGGCATTTGGTGTTTGGGGCCACTGCTGGTCTCTGCGCTTTGGGTAGCAGTGGACCCCTGGGCCCAAACTCTCTTTTCTCTGTGTCTTGTGCCTTTTATTTCTACAATTTCTCCTCTCCACATCAGCCGGGAGGGGCTCACAGAACCCTATAGGGCTGGACCCTATACTGAACACCTCAGGAAAAAGGACTGTACCTTTTATAAGCTTTACACCTCCCATTGACTAGCTCGTTGTGGCATGTAGTAGACATTCAATAAATGCCTGTTTGAATGAATAGACAGACTTGAGACATGTGGAGAAAAAGTAGAGACCTAGGTGTCTAAGATGTGTGTTTATAAATACTAGTTTTCTTTATTGAAATGGAAACTTGAGCCATTCTGATAAGCACAAATGTCACCTTCGTATTTTGATTGATGAGTCAATTATTCAGAAAATGTTTCTTTGAATATGTCTGTCCTTACTTAGCTCTTAAACATAAATGAGAGTGTTTTCAATGGTCCAGTCAGTCTCTGAAAGTGAATGTCTGTTTTTTTGATTCCAGAATTCATCCCGCAAGCATTTGGAATGCCCTTATCCCAAGTCATTGCAAATGACAGGGCCTATAAACTCAAGCAGGACTTGCAGAGGGATGAACAGAAAGATGCATCTGACTTTGTGGCTTCCCTCCTCCCATTTGGAAATAAAAGACAAAACAAAGAACTCTCAAGCAGTAACTCATCTCTCAGCTCAACCTCAGAAACACCAAATGAGTCAACGTCCCCAAACACCCCGGAACCGGCTCCTCGGGCTAGGAGGAGGGTAAGGTGGCCAGTATTTGCTCTGACACCAGTGCTAGGAAAACTGAAGATGTACAGTTATTCTTTGAGTTTTTGTTCATGTGAAAACTGGTTATGTAGTTGGTGTTCAGATATCTGTCAACAACTCCATTAATGAAGAATGTGTACTGGGCATGTGGCACCTGGCATAGCCTCAGACCTTGTCCTGACTCCTCTCGAAGCTATTGGGTATCCCCCTTTGTCACTTCTGTGCTCCATGCTCTCCTAAACATTCAACAATATCACCATTGATTCTGGTCTCTTGTAATCCATCAGTCTTGCTAGACTTGGCTGCTAGACTGGAGGCTTGAGGGCAGGGTCTGGTGTTTTAGCTATTAATACTTTCTTCATCACTGGTCTGAGAACATGCCTGACCAACTGAATTGGCAGTGCGTCTTCCTAAACAATGAGCTTTTTCCTTATCAATGGAGCATTTCTTTTTCTCAAACAGAACCATAGAATCCTCTATATATCCTCTTTCAAAACAATACTATAACAATGTGATACCAATTGTTGAGTACTATGTTCTAGGCAGTGTGCTATTATTTGAATTCTTCAGGCAAACTGGCTGGTGATTGGCTGAGTCAGTTGATAAGCATCTCTAAAGCTTCCAGGTTACTGGGAGATCTTCTTTCCCTTTTTAAAAACAGATCAGCATTTTATTTTTATTTTTTTGATTCAGGGTCTCGCTCTGTTGCCCAGGCTGGAGTGCAGTGGCATGATCCCTGCTCACTGCAGCCTCAATCTCCTGGGCTCGAGCAATCCTCCTGCCTCAACCTCCACAGCAGCTAGGACTACAGATGCACACCACCATACTAGCTAATCAGATGCACACCATCATGCCTAGCTATTTTTTTTTTTTTTTAAGTAGAGATGTGGTCTCACTGTGTTGCCCAGACTGGTCTTAAACTTTCTAACTCAAATGCTCCAAAGTGCTGGGATTACAGGCATAAGCCACCACACCCGACCTTCTCTCCCTTTTTTCTCTGTCACTTGGAGATCCTAAACTTTTGCCACCTCCAGCTGTTGAAGACTGCCCTAGTTAAAAACACCAGACACTTCCCACTTAAAATCCACATTTCACAATCAGCCCCTAACCTTCATTGCTGCTCCAAAGTAGAGGGAGACCTGATCCATTGTTTTTGCTGTATTGACCATGTTTAAAAATGAAGAAACTACAAAATTATGGAATGCCTGAATTTGCATGATGGAATTGTTCTTCTGTCATTGTATCTCAGACTGTGTTGTCATACAACAATGACACTAAAACTCTAAATTTTAGCTTTCTAGGAATGTAGGGCTCAGGCAAGGAGTCTCCCAAATGTCCTCTCCTCTGTCCAGGCCTGGCTAGCCGACTGCTTTCTCAGTGCTTCATCAAGTATGGGTGGCTATGGCAAATGCAATTGGTGCCCTGCTCCCTTTCCCTGACCCTTTACCATTCCTAGCATGCCAGCTCACCTTCCACCTGCCAACACCTTCTTTGCTGAGGGCTTTCTCTGATGCCAGAGTCACCCAGTCCATGCAGATGGAAGGCTGTAAGTACTTAGGAGATATTATTATCTCTTTGCCTCCACCAGAGGCTGCCCTTAAGCAGTGATACCTGAGGCTTGGTGCATAAATACCCCAGCTCTCTCATTTGATAGGGATAGCTCTGAGGTGCATAATACATAGCTGTCTCCTAGAGCTCCCCAGAAAGACTGAGCTCCAGTTGCCCGCAATGGTAATAGGCTTGATAATGTTCCCTTCATCAGCTGCCTTTCCTTCCTTGTCTCCTTTCCCCACTCCCCTACTGGCATTTCCCAGGACACCTCTCTAGTAAAGTACTTTGTGCTGTTTCTCAGGAAAATTAAGCTAAGGCTATTTAATGGAATTATTCCACTTTAAAAATCCTAGAGCCATAGTTTTTTATTTACAAGACTTCTCTGACTACCTCATTCGTTGAGTATGTAATTTTTTTCTTGTTTCAAGAAATGAAGTGGTTGGGCCAAAATACTTTAATTATATGTTTCCCATTGCTTGTCTTCCAATTGGAAAATTTTGGCTATTGTTGAAATTGTAACTGCCATTACCTTGAGGAAACCTTGTAGAGGTTTTCTAACTTTTTCAAAAGGCATCTTTTTTTCTTTTAATATACAAACAGTACAATTAATGCAATCAAGCAGTATTATTTTAAGTGTGATAGAGTCATGAGCAAAGTATGTATTGGCTAGCATCTGGGGGCAGCTGTTTTTCTTGGCTATCTGTATTTTTGTTCATGGCTCTGCATCACTTGCAGGGTGCCATGTCAGTGGATTCTATCACCGATCTTGATGACAATCAGTCTCGACTACTAGAAGCTTTACAACTTTCCTTGCCTGCTGAGGCTCAAAGTAAAAAAGAAAAAGCCAGAGATAAGAAACTCAGTCTGAATCCTATTTACAGACAGGTCCCCAGGCTAGTGGATAGCTGCTGTCAGCATCTAGAAAAACATGGTAAGTAGACTTGTCCATATAAAATACTAATTCAAATACTTATTCAAGCATCATTCATTGAAGTACCCAATTTCAATTGTGTTCACTTGATCATGTTCTGAGCTGAAATTTCCTGTGTGAAAGTGTACAGATGTGAGTATTTGCTAAGAGATTGTGGGGCTAAACACAATCGGAGGAGGGGGTGAATCAACTTGATGATATTCAGACTGCTTAGTTCCCAGTAGTCCTCAGAAGTGACCTTGGAGGCCAAGCAATTTTGGGAAGGGTCAGGTCTGTTGGACTGGGTTTGTCAAACAGGACTTCTTTCAAACAGACCAGAGCCACTTTTATTAATTGTACATAAAAGTAGCCTAGGAGGTTACTCACAAGGATTCCTTTAAAAAGTAAGAGTCCAACCTAAAAAAATTGGGGAATCATTGCTTAAGTGAATAGAAAATACATCATTTTTGACAACAGGTTTACATATTGCTATTTGCATTTTTGTAGAAGCTATTCACTTAAAATTTCTCCACAGTCACCCTTTGCAAGTCAATTCTAGTTACTAAGTTGACTTAAGAATGATATACAGTTCTTTAAAATTTTTTCTGAAATTTAGACTTCTGGCTTATTAAACTGCCATTTTCATAAACTAAATTTGTTTGCTGTAGTGTTAGCACGTGTTTTATGTACATGAGAAAAGTTTACTTTTTTACTATAAAAATAATAGCTCATTGTAATAAAGTAAATGTGAGAGCAAAGAAAATTCTGAAGTTACCATATAGACATAACTACTATTAACATTCTCATCTGTTTGCTTCCTAAGAAAAATTAAACTTCATTTAAAAATTGTTAAGAATATATCTAAATTTCTTAATTCATTATAATGGAAATCACTGGATAACACATGGATAACCTAAAACTAATGTCGTAAAATCTTGTTTATACAAAATTTTAAGTGTAGTTTTTTTTTCCACCTTATCTTTCACATGCCTGTGCATTACCTATGTACATACCTTGAACATACCTCTCCCTGTATACACACACACACACACACAAAAAAAAAAAAAAAAAAAAAAAAAAAAAAAACGAAAAACACAGTCACGTACCACATAATGACATTTCCATCAGCAATGGACCAATAGGCAATGGTCATTGCATAAGATTATAATACTGTATTTTTACTGTACCTTTTCTATATTTAGATACACAAATACTTAATATTTTGTTACAGTTGCCTACAGTATTCAACACAGTCACATGCTGTACAGGTTTGTAGTGTACGAGCACTAGGCTCTACCATATAGCATAGGTATTTAGTAGGCTATACCATCTAGGATTGTGTAAGTACACTCTATGATCTTTGCACAGTAATGAAATTGCCTGATGTATTGCTTCTATCAATTGGGGAATTTAGAAAAAAATCACACTATTTAGAATAAAATACAGAATTGTATTTCTTCATCTGCACAAATGAACATAAGTACCCACCTCAAAAGTTCTGCAATGATTCAATTAATTAACGTGCATACAGTACTTAGAATAGTACTTGGCATATATTATTATATAGAGAGAAATAGACACTGAATGAACTGAATGACTCTTCTATGTATGAAATAGAAAACTTTAATAGTAGGTCTCAGTAATTTTAATTTTGGCTGCATTTACTTTTTTATTTTCACATGGTTTCTGAATAAATTTCTACAGAAGCAAGATATCACATAAGGGCATTTTCTACACAAGTGGGACTATTCTCTTCCTACCAAGAGATAGAAAAGACAACTAAAACAAATTGAGATGTTTACTTTGTTTCTGGATGTAAAGAAATAATGTTATAAAGAGTTAAGGCTGGCACTGTGGTTCACGCCTGTAATCCCAACAATTTGGGAGGCCCAAGACAAAAAGATCACTTGAGCCTGGGAGTTTGAGACCAGGCAGGCAATATAGCAAGACTCCAACTCTATATAAAAAATCCAATTATTTCTGATTTAATTATATGTTGTACTAGTCATAAATTTTTCAGTGCCAAGAGAAAGGTACCCAAATAAAATAGGTTAAGCAAAGTGACCTCCCCCAAATAACAACCATCTTTATTTACATACTGGGAGCTTGATCTAGATTTAGACAGAGCTGGGTCCAGGATTCAAATGATGTCATGAGTGTCCTCTGTTTGCTGGCTTTACTCTCAGACCAGCTGTCTTCATGTGGTGGCCATCACTCTCATAACTGAATCTCCCAAATGAAAAGAAAATGAGCCACCAATGAAAGAAGTAATATACATGATGCTCATCAATGGCAATGACTAATGACTGGCATAGAAAAAGGAGAGCCATTCAGACATTCCATGCTCCCAAAGGAAGTATACAATACTTTTTGTGAAGTATTCTTGCCCTAGAAAATCACACCACAGTCAGAGAAATCTCTGGCTCTAGCTATCTCTTTACAGAAAATAAAGGGGAGAGAAGAACATATAAATAACACCATGGAATATCCAAATCCAGACAATATGTAGATCTACAGTAGGAAATCACTGAGATTTCTTCACTAAGCCAATTATAAGGAAAAAGGACACAGAAGGGGGAAACACAGATTAAGAGACTAAAAGGCACACAGACCATATCACAGTGTGTGACCATTATGTGGATGTTGACTGGAAATTTAATGCTATTAAGGAACTATTGTTGAAATTTCTAGTATGTGATAGTAAAATTACTTGTGTTTTTAAGAGACCTAATTTTTTAGAACTTGGTTTCTCAACCTCAGCACTGACACTATATTCTCACATCTAGGACATGATCCTAGGAAAAGCAGTAAGAAATGTGAACAAAACATGTCCACAGAGTTGTTCACAGTAAGGTCATTTATAATAGCAAAATAAGCGTGTATATTTTGGGGACCTGTACACCATTTAGAGGGGAATATGGAGTAAATTGTGGCCCATTCATACAATAGAATATTTTGCATCTTTTTTTATATTTCCATAGATTTTTAAGGAACAGGTGGTATTTGGTTACATAAGTTCTTTAGTGGTAGTTTGTGAGATTTTGGTGCACCCATCACCCGAGCAGTATGCACTATACCCAATTTGTAGTCTTTTATCCCTTTTAAGTGACATTTACAAGGAATTGTTACCAGCATGAATGAAAATTCTTGTGGCATGATAAGAAAGGCAGTAACATTTTCTCTGTTAATAGATAGATACTATATATGTGCAGTGTGAGCTCAACTATGTAAAAATATATACATTCATATAGAAAAGGCTGGATTTTAAAAATGAAATATTATCTAGGCATGGTGGCTCACACCTGTAATCCCAGCAATTTATTTGGGAGGCCGAGGCCGGCGGATCATTTGAGCCCAGGAATTGAGCTTGAGCCTGGGCAACATGGAAAAATCCTGTCTCTCCAAAACGTACAAAAAAAAAATTACTTAGGCATGGAGGCATGTGCTGGTAGTCCCAGCTACTCTGGATGCTGAGGTGGGTCAATCACTGGAGCCCAGGAGGTCAAGGCTGCAGTGAGTTGTAATCACGCCACTATACTCTAGCCTGGGCAACAGAGTGTGACCTTGTCTGAAAAAGAAAAAAGAAGAAGAAAATTAAGAGTGACTATTTCTGCATCAGGTATTTCTAAAAGTATATTATTTTTACATTTTTCTCCATTTTCTAGATTTTCTTTAAGAAGCACACTTTATGGTCAGACAAATATTTTTTAAATTGATAAAGAGCTAGAATCCCTGTAGAATGTGTGTTTAGGTAATAATTCTGAATAATGAAATAAAAGCTCATTTTCTCTGATAAGGAGAAGGTTAGAAATACATATCACATGAAAATATTTGATCAGAAACATTAAACATAAAATTCTGGTACTTAGAGGGCTGACCTTTAAGTATCTGGAATATAGAAATAGTGTGAGATGAAAGCAGCTTTACTGTATGCTGCCAGGTTACTATTGCTCTGCATGTTATGGCACTGTGCTGGCATTCTGCTCTCCTTCTATTTTGATTTCCTCCAGAGTCTCAAGCCATAAAACAAGACTGTTGATTTTGTTTGCTTACTTTCAGGCCTCCAGACAGTGGGGATATTCCGAGTTGGAAGCTCAAAAAAGAGAGTGAGACAAGTAAGTGAAAAGTAAAGATTATATTTTATGTTTTACTTGACTTTCAGTTCAGTTACCTTTTGCAAAGTTCAAGTCTATGCAAATTCAATTTTGATTATCTTTTATTTTTTAACCCTCCAAGCTATTATAATATAATTGAATTCCAGGAGGTAAAAGGCAACAACTCAGAAATGTTGTTACAGTTAGGCTCAAACACTTGAAAGCAAAACATATGGCTGCATCTGTGGCATGTGCAGCCAAACAAAACTAATTTATATACATCTTATTGACAATTGCAAAAGCAGAAAATTCAGAGTACCTGATCAATAAATGATAGAAAATAATTGTATGTAGCATCTATTTTTACTAAAATGTGATACTAAAAATGCTGTTAACATTCCCTTCACATAAGATGCTATTATAGCTTTACTTTATCAAAAATAAATAATTCTTATGAAGTTTTCATAGAACCACTGACCCCCAGTACGCTTTTCACATAGGTACTGTGCTCCTTTGTTTCCTTCAGCCCTCTGCAACATTCCTGCCACGAAGTTTGGTATTAGACCTTCAACAATAGGTTCCTGTGATGAGGCAGGTATTCGTGTTTGTGATGGCTTCATAAAATGCAAACCATACTTTGAGAAAAGAGTTCATTTGTTGGTGAAGGAAAATTAAATCATTATTTTCTTTATGTTGTTTTCAATGGAAGGAAATAAGGAACTCAGCAATTCGAAAATTAATTCAAATGAAAATCAATTTTAGTTGGGAAGCTGAAGAAATGACATTTGTTCATATTATTGAAAGTAATTGAAATAAATACATCATATATATATTTTTTGTCAAAACAAAAAAGGCTTTCAAAAGAAGTATGTTTTCTGATTGGCTGGTTAGTTTTTATTCTCACACAAGAAACAACATTAAATGGATCAACATTTAATGTTCCACAACAGAACTTGCAAGAAGGAAGATAGTATGATAATGTTTCGTAGGCCTCCACCTATGCAGAATTGCAGAATATTTTCACAAATATTATCTCATTGAATCTGCCAACCTGCTGTGAGCGTAGCCTCTTTAACACACTTCTGTCAAGGCTTAGAGAGATTAAGAAATGTAATTCAAGATCACGCAATTTAACTAGTCACCGTTAACTTCACAGGCCAAGTTATTTGCATGTTCCATTCTTTCTGCATGTGTGTATGCTCAGAAAAGAAGTATGGTGTGTTTGAATGATCACAAGTTGGAGGAATTTCAATAGAAGCCTTTGTTTTGGCTGCCCGATACACACTGATGGCGAGTTGTCTGGAATCAATGAGTAGTTCAGGATAGTGATGGGTATTCATTCTCCTCAAGTGGACAGGTAGCGAATGCCAAAATTTACCCATCAGTTATATCTGGATTCGTCAAAGGGGACATCTTTGCATGGAGTTGTATTTAAGGATTACCCAATAAAAATATAATTAGTGTTTATTTAGAAGTAGATTTTGACTATGAAATATGCTCTAACTCACTCATATTATTTTGTCATATAACCCCTTTGCAGCCTGCACTTTTTCCTTAGATGACTAGCCACAATGTTAAGAGTGAATCATTTGTGGGATTACCTGCTTATCACTTTGTTTCTCTAGAGGTACTTTGCCTCTTTATTCACTGGTGTATTTTGAGGGCCTGTGACACAGGAAACGTGTAATAATCTTTGTTGAATGGATGGATGGATGAATGATTGAAAACAAATGAACTCTTAGAGAAGTTTATTGCATAGGGTAGGATTATGAAGTTACATAATTATTTCTACAGCAGAGAACAATGCATAAGAGAAGTTGAGCTTTTAGAGACAAAAGCAGGGCGTGGAGTTATTACACTCCTGTTACTTTGTTTTCTTGCTGCTCTAAGTGCTAATAGACCTAGTGTAATGATTACAGCAGGGGATCCTTCTGGTAAACAATAAGACTACTTTGACAAATCTAAGAGAGTATGTAGCTATTGTCATCTTTTAAGCCTTAGTCATAAATGTCTTATCATGGTTCTTAATTTCATTTTTGCAGAAAAATCTCTTTGTTCTCTTGTTGAGTAACCTCAGTAAAATATCAACATTCAAACATGGCAGGATTGATGACACACAGAACCACTGTGTAATAAATTAATTCCTCCTTCCCACATTTTAGTTGACCTAAGTTGTTTTCTACCTTTTAGGTGTTCCTCCTAACCTGGTTGTCATTATTGAGCCCTTCTGCATACATCATTAACAATAAATCCACAGATAGTTTTATTTAATAATGCTTTTAAATATATATATACACACATATGTATTCATAGCTGGACTGTGTAAACTTGACAGATCAAGGTGACATGTTGTTTGCTTCTCCTTCTTGGGGTCTGTACAGACTTAATTCCAGATGCTACGTGTCACAGCACTTCTCTTGCTGTGCACTGCACATTGAGGTATGGTGTTATGTGACTGCCACTCGAACCATTGTTTTTCTAGTTACGTGAGGAATTTGACCGTGGGATTGATGTGTCTCTGGAGGAGGAGCACAGTGTTCATGATGTGGCAGCCTTGCTGAAAGAGTTCCTGAGGGACATGCCGGACCCGCTTCTCACCAGGGAGCTGTACACAGCTTTCATCAACACTCTCTGTGCGTAATACAGCCATTTGTGGGAAAGTGGCCCTGGAATACTGAGATGTCCAACTTATTCATCATAACTTTATGCATATGTTTCCTGATAACTTTTTTGTCCTTATTTATTAATCTCTAAAGAGTGGGCTATTTGGAGAGATTTCTCAGATTCACCCTGGGAATAATTAGCAAGAAGAAAGTTGCAATAAAACAAATGGAAATAGCCAAGAAGAATTTGAGAGGCTTTGAAATGACCCAAGAACAGTAGAAAGTGCTATGAGTTAATGCTTAGAGTACCAACAAGAGTTCACATTGATTCTATGCCTAAAATTGAGTTAGTGTTTCTGATATGAAGAAGGAGGGAACCATGGGAAACCCAGGGGAAGCAAGATGCCATAGCCCAGTGCCAGAGCTTTCAACATAGCTGCTTCTGGGCTATAGCTACAAATCCCATGAAGAAGAAAAAAAGGAAAAGGTAGAGGAAGGATAGGCCAAACTTGGGTCAGCCTTCATACATTTCTTCCCTCAATGCTACAATTCAAATAGGATTTGAATTGTAGCATTATACAACAGAGAGAGAAGACATTGTCTTTGCTGTATCTTGGTTATTGCCATCAAAATATCTGTCCTTGTGAATTGCTCAACAGAAAAGAGCCTTAAATCCATTATAAACTCAAACTTCAGAATGTTCACCAATTCTTATTCAGTGTTAATAAATATTTACCAAGAATGGAAGACTGAAATCCTTAAACTAGGTGATGAGTAATGCCAGGGAAGGGGGTAGAAGAAAGTAAGGGAAATTTAGTTACCCTTTTTTTTTTTAACCTGGATTACAGTTATTTTTCTAGATATTATACTTCCCCCAGGTCTAATTTTATATCTTTCACAGAAGCTTGCTGCTACATTGCTAAAGTAATGGGCAAGAGAGTGAAGGCATGAAATAGGACTTGCTTTGATAGTCCCTTTCTTAGAACAACTGAGAGGAGGCCTTTCCTCTGTGCCTGAATGGTATGGGCTCCCCTTTTATTTGAGCACCTCTTTTTGCCTTGCTTAGTGTTGGAGCCGGAGGAACAGCTGGGCACCTTGCAGCTCCTCATATACCTTCTACCTCCCTGCAACTGCGACACCCTCCATCGCCTCCTACAGTTCCTCTCCATCGTGGCCAGGCATGCCGATGACAACATCAGCAAAGATGGGCAAGAGGTAAAACGCATTTGCTGTCATAGATGCTGTGACTCTTCCTCTCCCCTGTTTTAAAAGGGCATATCAGCAAAATGGCCAAACATTTTGCCTAGAGGTAATGACATCTCCCCTCTCCAACCTAGCTGCCTATGTAGGAAGAGACTCATGCAGGGCCTTCTCTAGAGGGGCAGTTCCTAAGAGTGCATGGGCCATGAGCCTCCTTATATGTTTCAAATATGCTTCCAAATGAGGCTGTCATTTTCCATGATGATGCTTTACTCAAGACTCTGAACTTCTATTTGTGAAGAAGAAAAACAATGAGCTACAGAAGTGCTTGCAACCACGTAAAAGTGGATTGATGGGGGTGGAAGAAGATTGCTGGCCTTGTAATTGATTTTACCTGCTTCTGTAACTTGGAGCCCAAATACGATATCACCTCTTTATTCTTCCAGTTTGTCCCTGGAGTTCCCATCTGCACTATTAGCAAGAAGTCTAGTATCTCCCTTTTAAGGGATCCTTTCCTTTCTTAATCCCTCCCAGCAAAATAGGGACTTGCTCAATTCAAGGGAGGGTGAGTCCTGATTCCAAACCAAGTATGGAGGAAACTAGGTCTGATCTGCTGACCATTGCCATTGTGTCTCGGTATCATATGGTGTCAACTGCTCAAAGCAGGTTGTACATAGTCCCACAGACTCTTTAGGGATGTTCTTGTTGGACCTGATCTGCAGTCAGACTCCAGTGAGCCCCCCACCAAATCTAAGATCTTGGGTTCTGGTTCTCTATGGTTACACTCGTATTTCAAGATTTTTTTTGGTTTCACCCTTGGACAAATGAGATGCTGGCTTCAATTTTAAGTTTCTTACTAATAGGCAACCTATTTAATCTTCACCTTAACAAGAGACCCCCCACCTTCCCTCTTTGATACCATGCAGTTATACCTCTCCCTGACCTTGGATTCCTCAGGAGGTTATAGACTCTTTAATAAGCTAATATGTGCTGTAAATCAACAAGAAGGGGCCAGAGGCATTCCAAGCTTACTTAACCACAGGAAGTTTTTTGTAAATCTTTGTTAAAGTTCAGCTGCATTGTGCCTTCAGTTCTGTGTCTGTCAAATTTCCTTCCCAAATAACATGGTTATGTATATGTTTTTCACCCTAATCCAGAAAGGCAATTTTGCATTTCTTCTCATCCTCCTCCTTATGGGTATGAGAATGGAACTCTCCTGACTTAGCGATTTATCTCTATAGTAGTTATAATTAGTGAAGCCCCAGATGACTTCAGGTTTCATATGGCACTGACACCTTATTTCAGCATACACATCTCTTTGATGGGCATACTATAATTCTCATAATTCTTAAGTAGTTTTATTACTCATTTGGGTGTCAGCCTTTATCGACTACAGTTATAACAGGAGCTGTAGCATTATCTGCCTAATTGCTGGGGGAAAGCAGAGCTCTGTGTTTAAAGGTACTTCAGTTACTTCTCTGACATTTCTTAAGTACTATGTCAGAAGGAGAAAATTGGGTCTCAGGTAATTAAGAAGGCATTGAGGAGAGCAAAAGGTCCAATTGAAATAATTATTGCCATTTTAGCATCATTTTCAGACATTCTTTCCATTTAAATGCTGAACAATCTCCATTGCCTATGCCAAAAAGAAAATATTCTTGAATAGGTGTAAATGAAACAGCCTGATGGAATATTAGCTACCATTTATGTCTCTCCTTCCATGTGCTGGCTTTGTGCTAGGAGGTATATATGCAAATCCTCTTAACAGGCAAGAGAGATATCACTGCTCCATGTTTTAGAAGCAGGGCTAAGTAACTTAACCTAGCAGCCCACAGACAGCTTCCACTTAAGGTTGTATGAGTGGCATATTAGTCCATTTCACAACTCTAGGGGAGGTGCCATGGACCCCATATTCACTGTAGATTTGCAGAATTACTAGGACAGTATTTCAATGGAAGATAGAAAAAGATCTTGAAGAAGAGCAATGTCTTATACTGGTTAGTGGGTCAGGTTGGTCCCTGACTAGTCAAGTCCCAGCTGTGCATGGAACCTGAGACAGTCTAAGATAAAAGAAGTACAGAAAGGAATTCAAAGAAAAAAATACCTGTACTGGGGTCTAGGTCAGGGTTTCTCGGCCTCTGCAGTGTTGATATTTAGACCTAGGAATTCTTTGTCATGGGGCTGTCCTGTGCATTGTAAGATATTTACCAGCATCCCTGGCCTCTACCCACTAGATGCCAGTAGCAATACATCTCCTCTCCCACCAAGTTATGATAACCAAAAATATCTCCAAACATTTCCAAGTCTCACCCCTGAGGGGAAGTGCTCAAAATCGCCCCTAGTTGAGCGCATTTGGTAGCTCTTTAATTCACTGACCATGTGTTGTTGAAAAATTCTATTAACCTTCCTATACCTGGGTCTCCTCATCTGAACTTGGGAAATGAATATTCTTCAACCAGCCCTAAAGAATGGTTGGGAGACCTAGTATACTATGAGGAATATGAACTTATCCTGGTGACAGTGAATTTGTAGAAGGAAGCTAGGGTTTACAAGGGTTTCTAGACAACTAGACCTAAACATTGCATCAAAATGAAAGACTAACAGCCAAAGATTACAGCAGCAGGAGAAATATAAGGAGAGCATTGCTTCCGTGAAATTGTTAGCAGTGACAGGAGATCAGGCAGCTCTCACAGCCATTGCAGACTGTGGTAAAGGCTACAAAGCAGTGAAGTACTGAGAGAGACAATGGGAAATCGGGCCATCTTCATAAAGTGCTGAATACCTCTGTGTGGGGCAGGTGGTTGATTCTTTTAAGCTGTGAATCCTTGGAGGGATTCAACAAACAGGTGATATAAACTGTGTTGTAGACTGGCTAGACACAAAAGGGGAGTGAGTTAAGAGGCTTTTGTATCAATAGAAATATGGACAACAGCAATTCTTGTTATAAAAGATTCCATGTAAGAATAGCCTTGGGATTTGAATCATGCGTGTCCTGAGCATTTACCTTAGGTTCCTCTAAACCAATGACTCTTGCTTAGACGTTTTCTAATGACTTTCCTCAGGATACAGTGGTATGTAAGAAGTGGAGGAGGTGAGGACACACGGCAAATATAGAATTAGGGAATGCACTGCAGACTCATAGCAGACATTCAGAGAAGAAGTGATGAGCATGGGCCAGAAAAGTTAGGAATGGCTTCATGGAGGAGGTTGAATTTAAGATGTACTTCAAAGGGTGTGTAGGGATTGAATACATGGACCACATAAGCACAGCATTGGCATGGGAGTTAGCCACACCTCTTCTGTTAAAAACCCTAGAAGAAAATCTAGGCAAAACCATTCAGGACATAGGCATTGGCAAAAACTTCATGAGCAAAACACCATAAGCATTGTCCACAAAAGCAAAAATAGACAAATGGGACCTAATCAAACTCCACATCTTCTGCACAGCAAAAGAAACAATTATTAGAGTGAATCGGCAACCAACAGATTGGGAAAAAATTTTTGCAGTTTACCCATCTGACAAAGGGCTGATATCCAAAATTTACAAAGAACTAAAACAGATTTACAAGAAAAAAACTAACAAGCCTATTCAAAAGTGGGCCAAGGATATGAACAGACACTTTACAAAAGAAGACATACGTGAGGCCAACAAACATATGAAAAATGCTCATCATCACTGGTCATCAGAGAAATGCAAATCAAAACTACATTGAGATACCATCTCACGCCAGTTAGAATGGCGATCATTAAAAAATCTGGAGACAACAGATGCTGGAGAGGATGTGGAGAAATAGGAACACTTTTACACTGTTGCTGGGAGTGTAAATTAGTTCAACCATTGTGGAAGACAGTGTGGCGATTCCTCAAGGACATAGAAATAGAAATTCCATTTGACCCAGCAATCCCATTACTGGGTATGTATCCAAAGGATTACAAATCGTTCTACTATAAGGACACGTGCACATGAATGTTCATTGCAGCACTGTTTACAATAGCAAAGACCTGGAACCAACCCAAATGCCCATCGATGATAGACTGGATAGGGAAAATGTGGCACATATACACCATGGAATATTATGCAGCCATCAAAAACGATGAGTTAGGGTCCTTTGTAGGGACATGGATGAACTTGTAAACCATCATTCTCAGCAAACTGACAGAAGAGCAGAAGATCAAACACCGCATGTTCTCACTCATAGGCGGGTGTTGAACAATGAGAACACATGGACACAGGGAGGGGAGCACTACACACTGGGGTTAGTTGGGGGGAAATAGGGGAGGGAAGGTGGGGGGTGGGAAGCTGGGGAGAGATAGCAAGGGGAGAAATGCCAGATGTAGGTGATGGGGAGGAAGGCAGCAAATCACACTGCCACGTGTGTTCCTATGCAACAATTTTGCATGTTCTTCACATGTACCCCAAAACCTAAAATGCAATAAAATAAATAAATGGAAAAAAAAAAAGAAGTAGTAGTCAAGGGAAGAAGGAGAGGACTAAGAGAAAAGTTGTTTATTATTTTTTAGTCGATTTGGCATGAGCAGATAGAGAATATGGAAGGGGCAGACTGGAGTACAGCTAAATATTAAATTGTAAAATATGGTCAAAACAGCATTTTTCAACTTCTCTTACCTATTTTAGTGTGTATTATCTATTTGTTAGGGTGCTGTTTTTGGGGATTGCAACATAGTTGAAACCTGATGCAGACTGTCAAAAAGCTTGAAGGCTCACACAGGTTTGGCCAGCACCTTGCTGCATGACTTGTCTTTATGAAAGAGAGGAAGAGGAAGGAAAACAGAGTTGGGATGGGGGATGGTCTTAGCTTTGTCATCTACAAAATGAACATAATATTTTCTCTTTGATAGGTGCTTAAAATTCAATACATCACTAACTGGTGAGATCTTAAAGATGTCGAAAAGAAGGGCATGAGAAAAATTGTTGACCAGTCAATCAGTGCTTTTTTGGGAAAAAAATAGCAGTATTTTATTGAATTGTGGTGTTTTGCTATCTTGTGTTTGTTTTGTTTTCTTCTATTTTGTTTAGTTTGCTATTTGCTTTGCTCCTTAGGGAAAAGAGAAATTCCCAAGTGTAAGAAACATTGCATTTCTTTAAGAAAGAATATAGCAAGAACCAAATTGAAACCTCCTGAGCAGTGGTTTTTCAGAGAGTTCAAGAAACCCCTAGCACTGCATGGAAAATGTGGTGTGAATATGCACTTGTTTGGGAGAGAGTCCATAGCTAGCATAGAGTTCTCAAACGGTCTATGAGGCAAAAAAGAAGTTACAAACCACCAGTGTAGGGCCATGATTCCTGATCTTTGAGGAGGTACATGCCTCTAGGAAATGGTAGGTTGGCTTTGGAACAACAAGACCTGTGCCTCACCTCACCCTCATCCAGCCCTGTTTTAAAGCTCAATTTCCCATTTCCCCATGCCATGGCTGCGTCTGCCAAGCAAGAGGAAACAGGAAGAGGTGTAGCAACAGGATGAAGAGAGTAGGGCTGCCCAGAGTAGGGTCATCAGCTTCTCTTCTTGCTGTTTAATATCCTGGCTCTGGGCTTTGGGCATCACTTCCCTCATCTATAAAACAGGGACAACAGCAGCAGCTGCTTCTTAAGCTTATAGTGAGCAAGAATTGAAATGGCCCGTGGAAAGCCCCTAGCCTGGTGCCTGTACATGCCAGACTTTTAACACATATGAGCTATTCATACGAGGCTTAGAAATGATCTAGGATGTTTATTTAGTGAAGATAAAAGTTTTCTTGAATTGATAACTAATTTAAAAATGAAGTAATGGCCTGGCTCAAGTGCACATTGCATTACCTAGACACAGCCATATAGCACATACAAACATATGCTGAAACACATGGAGAAAAGGTAGCCATTGCCTGGGAGCAAGTCTCCTTTCCATGTTAAAAAACAATAAAACAAAACCCCAAAGCATTAACAAACCCCAGCAGCTTGGTCTGCAGCTGGAATCTGTGTGCAGTTTTACAGATGGGTTGTATTCCATTCCCAGAATAGCAACAGGAGAAGGAAAGAGCGGAAACAGAGCTCTAGATTGTCCTTGTACAAAACATTCTTTTAAAAGAAAACAAAATCTTCCATTTGTTCATGCTTAAAAAAAAAAAAAGAAAACCCTACTATGACTTTAAAGGAGTAAGGGGAAACACTCCAAATACCTCTGAGTTCTAAAGGGAGGAATTTGAAAATGACACGTATTTTATTTTCACCTTAATCATGAATTTGCAGGAAAAGAAATGAAAAATAAAATGAAAACTTGTCAGATTTTATACCAGTGAAATAAAACAAAAATGATTGGACGATCCTACGTAAACAGCACTTTCTTTCAAATTCTCAGTGTTTACCACATGAAATAATTTCCCTTGGTGGCCATTCACCTGAAAACAGCCTCACCTTCTAAAAATAAGACAAGTTGTTTACCATGCTGGGATTGCAGGACAGGGCAGTCACCAGCTCATGGCTCCAGAGGATGAGAGTGGGGTTCATGGGGGCTTTGTCTCAACTATTCATCAGGACTCCTAAATTCTATGACAAGGTGTTTCTGAAAGGCTGTATAGATCTTCCCAGGCATAAAATCCCCACGAAGCAGGCACAGTTCCCATACTTATCCTAACTCTCAGCTGATATTGACAAGAGAAATAAAAGTTCACACAAACCAGTTGTTCTCAACCAGGAGTAATTTTACCACACAGGGGACATGCGACCATGTCTAGAGATAATTCTGGTTGTCACAACTGTACCCTGGGGGTAGGGGTGCTCCTGGTATCTAGTAGGCTGAGGCCAGGGGTGCTGTTCCACATCTGCAATGCACAGGACAGCCCCCACAGCAAAGAATGATCTGGCCTTACATGTTATTTGTGCTGAGGTAGAGAAACCCTAGCCTAGAGAAACTTACTCAGACTCTCTCACCTGAAAAAAAGACAAGTAAGCAGTAAGAATGCTCACACACCTTTAAAAATGTTCATATTCCTTATTACAACAATGCAACTTGTATGAATTTACTCCTAAAAAGTGCTCACCCAAGCTCACAAAATATCTTTTCAAGGGTATTTTTGTACTATGGTTTATAATAACAAACAATTCAAGACAACATAAATGCCTATCAGTTGACTGGGATTAAAACACATCATGGTTTATTTGTGCAATGGGCTTCTATGGGCCAATGAAGACTGAAGACAGGATTTTTTTTTTTTTTTGTAGTGGAAAGATTATTGTAGCATATTGTTAAGAGACAGTGACCAAGTTACAAAATAACATATGGATGGGATCCCAGTTTTAAAGAAAAAAATTTCAGGTATACATGTATATATGTGCACAGGAAGACATAGGAATGGATGATTTGGGTCAGTGGTGGAATTATGGGCATTTATTTTTCTTTTTGCTTACCTGTACTTTCTAATTACTAATATATTGAACATAATTTTTTATACTTCGAGCTAAAAAATAGTTCCCTTCCTTCACCCTGTATTCCCCTTTAGTTTCCTGTATTTCTTCTTCCTCCTTCTCTGTGATATCTTTTGAAAAAAGTGTCTACATTCACTGTTTCCACCTCTGCAACTGTGGCTCATTCCTGCCACACCACTGACATGACTCTTATCTGGGACATCAGAACCATCAGAGAGTCCATTCTGGAGGGAAGGGTCATATCTCAATGACCCTCTGCCACAGCTCATGACTAACTTGAAACTCACCTATCATTTCTTCTAGGATACAGGTTTTTCTTATTCTAACTTCTCACCCATTCTTGACCTCCTTCATCAGCTGCTCCTTAAAGATGCTGGAGTCTCAGGAACCCTTTGTCAGCCCTTCATGTTCCTCATTTAACTTTCCATTTTTTCCTTTGTTTAAACACAAAAGCCTCACCCTCTGTATTATCCTCCTCACCCTTCATCCCCTCCATAATTTGGGAAGCTGCTCTTCATCCCTACTTCTTCCTTCCTAGTTCAGATGCTAGCTGCTGTAGCCTAGACTGTTGTAGTGTGTCCCAGGTAATCCTACTCCCTTGCATCCCCTATCCGCTGTTTCATAGATTGCTCTCCCTGAAATGCAAATTCCATCTCCATTCTGCTCTGTTCAGAATCCTCTTGCCCTTAGATGACAATTTGAACTCGTTGGTCTGACACACAAGGATCATCTTACCTGGCCCTTGCCTGCCTTTCCTGCAGAATCCCTACCACACTGAGTTTTCGGGGGCTCTGTGACATATTTTAAATGTTTCTGTCTTTGCATGTGTGGTGCTTTCTTCACTGTGAAATTGTCTCCTGCCCCAGATCCTTTGCTTTTCAGCCTAGCAAACTCTATTCTTCTTTTGAGAGTTTGTGCAAATATTTCCACCTCTGTGGTGGTGATCCTGGGGCCTTTGGAATTGAGAGCTTTATAGTTTGCAATCATTACCTGTAAATGATAGGTTTATTTCCTACCTAGAAGGAAAGCCATTTAAAATAAGTTCTATGTTGTTATCATTGCTGGAAAAGTTTTAAAATAATTATAGCATATGAAAAATGCCCAGCCTATGATAGGTGCTGAGTGAATGAATCAATGGCGATATTATGGATTGATGAATGAAGGGATGGTTGAAGAAACAGATAGATGGATGGATGGGTGTCAATATTTCTTAAGTGCAAACAGGATAGAAATTTTATATAGTGCCCATTTTACAATAAATGACTTAGAGTTACAAATTTTTACTCAATATGCTATCGAGATGACCATTGAACTATGAGCTTCAATGCAAGATATGAAAGCAAAAGGAAAATGGTGATGCTCTCCATGGATTGTGATAGAAATGATGGCATCCTTGCAGGATTATAAAAAATGAAGAACAGGTTTCAGTGATTATTGAACCACCCAGTATTTTGAAAGGCAAACATAGCAACAGTCCTTGTGTTCTCTTCTCCCCTAGGTCACTGGGAATAAAATGACATCTCTAAACTTGGCTACCATATTTGGACCCAACCTGCTGCACAAGCAGAAGTCATCAGACAAAGAATTCTCAGTCCAGAGTTCAGCCAGGGCTGAGGAGAGCACGGCCATCATCGCTGTGGTGCAGAAGATGATTGAAAATTATGAAGCCCTGTTCATGGTAGGTAGCCCTTCTGTGGCAGAACATCACAACAAACTGCCTACTGGTTGCCTCTGGAGGCAGGATGAAACTCTAGTAGACCACTCTCTGGTATGTAGTGCTGCTCACTGAATTCATTTGAAGTCAGGCAGTTTCAGCAGGAGTAGAAATTTGCACAACTATAATGTCATTTTAAGTTTGTGATTCCATGTTTTAACAAACATGCCAAATTATAATTTTCATTTTGTCATCCTCTAAACCATGGTCACATTTTGGAGTCGTTTAATTATAAAGCAGTGTCCTTGCTCAAGACATTAATAAAGCCCTTCTTTTTGGAATTCTGTGTCCCTCATGAATTCATGTATTCATAAGCATCTTCAGTGGTTTCACCTCCTCCAAGGTCAATCTTAACATTTTACCTCCTACATGAAGCTTCACCTGTCCTTCCTTTGTCCTTCCCATGCCACTTCTCTGTCCCTGAACTCCATTACTGTTCTTACTGATGTTTATCTTGCCCAACATTGTATATAGTCATTTATGCTCATTTCCCCTAGTAGAGTATAAATGCATTTAAAACAAGGGCTGCACCCTTGTTATCTCCTCTCCGTATCCTCTGTATGCTTTTGGAAAGCCCTCCATCTGGCAGGCATTCAATAAATATTTTTTTGATTTGAATTGAATTACCAGTTCCTGTTTTCCTTCATAAAACTGCATTGCTTGCTACAACTTCCCTTGAAACATTAGAACAAATGCCAACTCTCTTCTATTTCTCTTCACCAATAATATTGCATGTCAAAATTTACAAGAACCTTCTTCATGTTTCTTCTCCCATTTCTCTTGTCAATTTGCAGGCACTATAAAGCCTACTTATTCCACTAGAGCCTTTTGTGCATCCTTTAATTAAGAATGCTAGTTACCTCTTTTAAATCTCTCTAGTAATTTGTCTACACTTATCAATTGCTGTGTATTATATTTATGTCCATGCTTGTCTTATACCAATTATTTTTTATAAATTTGAGACCCAGTGTTTTAGAATATTTGCCCTCTGTGTCTTACCTATGTGATCGTGAGCAAGTAATTCACTACTCATTAAGCACCAATTCTAGCTTTAGAAATGAGAAATATACAAAGGTGATGTAATTCTCAGGGTGGTGACCAGAATTATTTGATATGTCAAAGTATTGTGCAAACTATAGTGGTTTATGTAAGTGTTAATTAATAATTATATTAATTGGGTAACACATGCTGCCTCAAACCTCAGTGCTTTAACACAGACATAAATATCTCTCTCACATAAAGTTTAATCAGATAATAGGTGGACAGCCTTCCAGGTGATGATTTAGGAATCCCAGCTCCTTGTATCTTGAGGCCCTGCCATTTTTTAGGGTTTTATGGATAACCCCAGAAAGGTCATCCATCTTGTCCACTCAGATCTCATTGGTCAGAACTTATGCACAAGCCACCCTTAACTTCAAAGGAAGCTGGGAAATGTATCCTGGTTGGAAGCCCAGGAGGAAGAGCAAATGGATTTACCACACCGAAAAGTTCACTGAGGTAGAATGGCATCTTTCTCTTGTTTGAATCTCTGAAACACTGTCCTTGGATTGCCCATGATAAGCTCTCAAAAAAAGGTTGAATTAATAATCGACTCTACATAAAATTTACACTTCAGCCAAAATCCTCATAATTAACGACATATTTGGATGAATCAAATGTCTGAACTTTTCAACATTTTCATCAAGTTTTAAGTCACGTATCTTCCTGCCAAGTAGTCTTGGCATTACTTCATGTTCTCTGGATTTTTTTTTTTAACAAAACAATACTTCTCGTCAATCTTAATTCTATTATCTAAGTAAAGTTCTCCTTTATATGAAACCACAAACCATTGGGCATTTCTTTTCAACTCAGATACTAACAAAACTCTTCCTGGCTTCTTTGAAACTACAGCTGCTGCCATTTTAATTGTACCATCCCTCTTCTCTCCATTTCCTGCCACCTGAATTACTAAGAGCAGTATAAAAACATCAGTATTCTACCTTTTCCAGCTTTTCCCAAATCTGATCTTTGTTTGCCATTCTCTGTAGGGATTGATGTCAACATTCTCTCTTATTTTTGGTTGCCAGTTACAGTCTTTACTTCTCAAAGAGGCCTTTCCTGGCCGCCTTGTATAAAATGCACCTCCCACCCCACCCCCCCACCGCACACATACATGCACGCATGCACACGTGCACACGCACCTTCACTCCCTATTTCCTTTCCCTGCTTTTTCCCCTTAGCACTCATCACTGTTAACATAGGGTTTTACAAATTTATCTTGTTTGTTTTATGTTAACTACATGACAGGATGATATTTTTTGGTCCATTTCTATCTATAGTACTTTCTTTACTGCATTACCCCTGTGCCTACATGGTAGGAACATAATAAATATTGGTTGAATTAATGAATGGCTCAATGGTTCTTCTGTGAGATATGATTTCCATATTAAGTCTTACTCCTTATACGTATGAAAACATTTGGGCATGGAGAAATTAAGGATACCTTTCTTGTAATAAATTAACCATTTATGTAATCATTCTTGATCTCTTTAGAAGGATTATGGGACTCATGTATTACGAAAAATAACAGCCAGCAGAGATGGCTCACACCTGTAATCCCAGCACTTTGCGAGACTGAGACAGGTGGATCACCTGAGGTTGGGAGTTTGAGACCAGCCTGACCAACATGGAGAAACCCCATCTCTGCTAAAAATTCAAAATTAGCCAGGCATGGTGACTCATGCCTATAATACCAGCTACTCAGGAGGCTGAGGC